CCATTGGAATTTATAATGAGGCCTTATTCTTTAAAAATATCCACAAAATGCATACGAATCCTCAGCTACTTGCGGCCAAGATCTACAATGCAAAATCTGATTACCTCCTCTGCCCTTCTAGTGACCAGCGTAAGCCGCCTCCAGCTTCTTTCTCGTGGGTTAGAAGAACAATGCACTCCCTAGCTATTAAAATGAGAAAGGGTTTTGCGTGGAAACTTGGCTCTGGTAATAATGTTGTAGCTTCAAGCTTTACTTGGGTCAATAATAAAGTTCTAGTGGTAAATTCAAACCAGAATCTCAGACAAAGTGCTTTGTAGAAAGCAAGTGAATTTTTTTACTCCATCTCGAACTTGGAACGTGGGAATTGTTCGAGAACGTATTGAGTGGGAGAGTGCACTATCGATCTTCCAAAGGAATAAAGAAGAGGAGGACTTCTTATATTGACTTGGCATAAAACAGGTACTTATACTGTTAAAATAGGGTATGCTTTTCTTGCTAACCTTGGAGGGGGGAGAGAGCCCACTTATAGAAAAGAAATCTATGATTACTTCAAGATTTTATGGCACTTGGAAATTCCTCCGAAATGGCGTATTTTCATGTGGAAGCTTGCTGTAAATGGAATCCCTGTTAAAGCTAATCTTTATGCAAGAAGGATAACTACTGACACCTTGTGTGACTATTGTGGTGTCAAAGAGGAGGATGGATTTCACCTTTTCCTTGACTGTTCTATAGCTCGGTACGCTTGGAACAACTGTTAGATTCCAAATCACAAAAACCTACCGGTTCCATTTCACTTCAAGATTGGATCCGAAGCCATATTATGCTTTTTTATAGTCAGGATGGAATACAAAGCAAGCGCATAAAAGCTCTAGTTACTACTCTGTGGGATATATGAATTACAAGGAACAATCGTAATTTTCAAGGAGATAATGGGTACTTGAGATGTTACTTTGGAAATCTGAAAGAATCTTTTCTCTTATTACATGATTTCACTAAGCCAGATTCCAGGCTACAGAACCCAGGACCTCCTGCTGATTTAAACCTTATGCTCCCTCTGGGGTTTTTACAAGCTTCTTTAGGACAACTGTATCATGTCCTACTTTTTAATGATTCATTATCTTTAAGTACTATTCGAGTTGATGTCTCTTGGAACAAGGCTAGTAAACGCTATGGAGTTGGATGGACGATCGAGTGTCAAGACCAGGGCAAAATTGAGGTAGGGGGCTTCTCTGGCATTGTGGCTTGAGCTTTACAATCGGAGTTTTGGGCTTGCCTCTACGCTTTGAGGTAGGCGAGTGACGATGGCTATCAAGCAATAAAAGTTTTAACTGACTCTACTTCTCTTGTCATGGCTATTCGAAACAAGAAACCCCCAGTCATTCACAATTTTTGGACTCTGAAGGAGATCATCAAGATCGGGAGCACATTTCAACATTGCATCATCCTCAAAGTCGATAGAGCGGAAGTCCATACCCCTCACCAAATAGCTAACCAATGTCGGGTTACTTTGAATAGTTTTTTTCTATTATGGCGGTTTTTGATTTATTTTTTTTAGTTGTTTGCCTTCTTTCCTTTGTTTATGCTGTTGTTAAAAAAAAAATAATAATTATCACAAAAACTTGCTAAAGTTAATGTGATGATTAAATTGGGACTAAGAGAATATGGGTAATATTGATAATGAAGTGAGTTTATTTATTAATTAACTTTGTTAATTTCTTAAATAAAAAAATTAGATCTTGTTAACGAACGCCCCTAGAGTGTTACATAAACATTTAAAATATTACCTAAAGTGGTATTAATTTGGGAATGCATGACAAAATCACGCTTCGATCGGTGTAATTAATATTCATTTTAGTTTAGTATTTCTAATTTTAGTAATCTTATCCAACTTCCTCGAAGGCGTTTGTTAGCTTTTGCGCAAAAATTAATGAATTTCTTCACCTTGTAAAAGTATGATTACATTCGAAAACACAAATTTACAAGGCCCCAAAATGTTAAAGTGTATCCCTAAACGTACCGTGTCTAACCATCAAGCTGAATTAATGCTTGACAAAACAAAACACGTGTTTTGGTACCAGTAAAAGAGAAGAAATGAGGCGGTGTATAACCAACGAAGTAGAAATAAAAAAAAGTAATAAAAAAAAATTGTGCTTTATTACACTCTCAATTTCTAAAAGTTAATCATATCTTACTCCCTCCTACCAAAATAACTGACATGATTCCCATTTTCGTCAGTTCCAGAATAATTGACACGTTATTAGATATAGCATGAGATCAATAATTAATACTTTGTTCGTTTTTTTTTTTTACTTGACCTGCTTATTATACTATTCACCACTCCTTTATCTGTTTTTTTTGTAAATTATATGTAATTAAAAATATATTCATATAATATCTTATTAGATTTGTCTCAATATATACTATCATAATATATAGTTTTTACAATTTTACTTATGGAGAATTAAAGTTATTGATCATTAAAGTTGTGCACTGACAAAGGTGATAAATGAAATGTGATTAACATTTTGCTCTATTCTTCAAAGGCCCACTAATTCTTGGGAAACGATTTCAGCCACATAAAAAATCAAAAGGAATTTTTTAATATTAAACAAATGTATTACGAAGTAAATGGTTACCACTTTTATTCCAACTTTTTTTTTTTTTTTTTATGGGAAACTCTCAATGGTACTCATCACTTTTTTATTATTCTCAATGGTAAACTCTAAAATATCAAATTATCTTTGGTAATTTACAATTTGTAAAAATAATTCATTGGTAACATTAGTTAAACATTTTAAGGAAATATAACCATGGTAATGTATTAAAAGGGAGGGAAAAGGGAAATGCCTAAATACCCCTACTGAAAAAACTCATCACTCACTTCTTTCCCACCCAGCCCTTTGCCCACCCATCTCCGACTCCCTGCCGGCGCCGGCTGCGCCCACCCAACCCAACTCCGTTGCCTCACCAATCTAGGCCCAACCTTCATTGGCACCGGCGTATCAGTTCTAGAACCTTCCTGGAAAAGCTTAACAACGTCCCTAGGTTTTGACGAAGATCGAACCAAGCTAATGGATTCTCGGTTCGAAGAAATGTTCTTCGCTGCCATAACCAGTGATTTTGAGCAATCGAATTGAGGACCTAAGAGAATAGTAGCGCCATCATCTTTAGCCCTAGAAATTGATTTTTTAATGTTCTTCAAATTGCAATCGAAATCCATTTCCCTTTGATTCAAATTGCATGTTGCAACTTTAATCTACCTTATAATTTAGAAATTTGATGTTTAGGTTGAAATTCAACAATTTAATTGTTCAAATTGTGGTGATGTTGCTGTTATTTGGTGAGGTTATTGCGGCTTGCGGTGTTGGAAGAAGTGGTGTGTGCGGTTCGGTGGTTGTGCGGGGCGAGTGCAGCAGGTTGGTTGTGGGTGTGAAGGTGCTGTGATTAATTGAGGTTGATGGTGGTCGGAGATGCAAGGTCACGGAGGTAATAGATGGTGTTAATTGGTGGTTTATTGTTAGAAGGTGGTGCGGTGGCTTTGGTTGTGGCTCGCGCCGGAGAAAGGGGGATCGAGGCTGCCTGGTGCCGGAGGGTCTGGGCATGGGTGGTGGCTGGTGGTTGGCTGACTGTGTGGTCGTGGCTGGGGGAGAGTGTGGTGGGTGGGTTTTTTTTTAAAATTTTTAAAAAAAAAAAAAATATAATTTAAATGTTAAGAAAATAAAGGAAAATCTGATTTCAAGGATATAATAGTAATTTTGTTTATTAGTTAACTATGGTTAGGCTTATAAATTGTATATTAATCTAATTAATGTCACCATTGAATTAATGACACAAATAATTGATTACTAAAGATAATTTGATTTTTTTGATGTTTACCATTGAGAAATATAAAAAGTTTAAGAGCACCATTGAGAATTTCCCTTTGTTTTTTTAAACTATATGCCCATCTTAACGTCCTATATATTCTGGGACAAAAGAAATAGGGAAATTCTCTCTTATTTTTTCTTAGTGGTAAAGTCTGAAATTTTTTATTATCAATGGTAATCATGAATTAATATTATTAAGCCTATGATAACATTGATGATAATAAAATATCATTAAACGATTAAACATGGTTAATCTTGGTTAATAACATTGAAATTACATTAGTACCCTTCAATTTTTTTGTAAAAAAATAAACAAAAAAAATTCCAAACCCCTCCCCACCCACCCAGCCACCAGCCAACTGCCATCCCTCCTCTGTTGCCGGCGCTCAGCTCGGCCCGGATGACGGCGTCTCAAATCCACACCACCACCATCGACACCTCAATAATCCCAATACGAGCATCAAAACGAGCATCGACACGCCGTTTTTGACCTTCTGATCTCGAAATTAAAAGAAGGCCGGATTTGAAGAAGATGAAGAAGAATTGATGCCGGATTTAGGACCCTCCATTTGAGCAGCTTTACCTTGAGGTTTGAACCCACAATCGCTTGATACAATCCCTAAAAATCATTATTTTAATTTATTTTTTCTTTCCTCCGATCTATCTTCAATTAACCATGATCGAGGAGAGAGAATAACAGATGAGGGAAAATTTGGGGGCAAAATTAACGTTTGGGAAACGGGAAAATGGGGTTGAAGAAGATGATCATTTCGGGGAAAATTTTTATTTCCAAAAATTGGTTATTGGTAGTGGATATAATCTAATGGAGTTGAAATAATGGAGGAATGTAAAAGGAAAAGAAAGAAAAAGAAAAAGGTGGGGAATTCATGGCAGAAGAAAGAATTAATGGAGGGGGAAAGAAAAAGGAAGAAGAAAGAAGGTTGGGGTAAATTAAGTGGGGATAGTTGCGTCTTTTTACAGTCCTAATAGTTAAACCATGGTTAATAATTAACAATTTATTTAACTTAAGTTACCATTGAATTAGTAATATTAATTTGTGATTACCATTAATAATTAAAAGTTTCAAACTTTACCACTGAAAAAAAAATTAAAGTTCGTGATTACTAGAGAGAATTTCTCAAAGAAATATTTTTTTTTTGTGAAACAATCACTATTTGCAAAAACTTTAAGAGAAGGAGGGATTATATGATAGTATTTGTAAACCAAAAAAAACCTTTGTGCTCTATTAGGACTATTACACTCTCAATTTTGGAGACCAGTGAGTATATTGGTTAATGTTAATTAACAATATGACAAAATAATCAAGTCAAAGCTCTGAATTTTCTCATGTAAATGAATGGAGTTGTTTGCATTTTTTTTTCTTTTCGTTTCTGGTGCAGTTGTTGCTTGCAGATGCCATAGTTGCCTGCTTTATTAGGTCTATTTTCTTTATCTGGGTTTGAATACAAATTTGCAATAGTCAGTAGTAATTTAGTAGTTGTTGTCTTTCTAAATTTATCAGAAGATTGAAAAAGTCAACCCCTTTTTTAAATGCCATTTACGACAACCTTCAAACTTAAACCTTTTCCCATAACACTTTGACTCATTTCCTTTCATTTTCTCTCTCCTCCTCTCAATGGAACAGTAGTTCGGCGCTCATTTATAATTCGCATGCAATTTTCAGAATACCCATAATACTTTCACTTTCATCTGTCCATTTTTCCACATTTATTTTTCGAACAGAGCATTGATCATAAAAAAAATCCTCTGTTTTTCACTTCATAAATTACACCCAAAAAAGCTGAAACTTCACTCCAAATTTGCTCCTTTTTTCATTGTCTGCAAACTTTAGCATCTGGGTATTTGTCTAAGTGATTAAAGATTGCATCTTTGATTACTTGTAATCTTTTTTATTTTTCTTCTAAGGTAACTTTCTATTTTGGATAAGGAAATTACACTACAAAATATGCAAAATTCACTTCAATTTTCATAATTTCCTCATCAAATTCAAATTTAATGATCTGGGTAGCTGTCTAATTGATAAAAATGGCATCTTTGATGTTTTCAGTGTGTTACTTTACTCTGTTTTTGGCAACTTTCTTTTTTGGGTATGTTTCATGCTCAAAAAACTCAACTTTGGAAACCCTCTTAGAAGTGAAGAACTCATTTACAGAAGACCCAAATGGGGTTTTGAAAAGCTGGTCTAAAACCAACCCAAATTACTGTAAATGGGAAGGAATCATATGTAACTCAGCTCGAGTTGTAGTGAGTCTAAATGTGTCGAATGCATCACTTGGTGGGTCAATTTCACCTTCAATCGGTGGTTTAAAACACCTAATCCACCTTGATCTTTCTATAAACCAACTCAGTGGGTCCATTCCAACTACTCTTTCAAACCTTTCTTTGTTAGAATCTTTACTTCTTTACTCAAACCAACTAAGTGGGTCCATTCCTACTCAACTGAGCTCACTCAGGAATCTTCGTGTCATGAGAATTGGTGACAATGATCTTACTGGTTCAATTCCTTCATCATTTGGTGAACTTTCTAATTTGGTCACGTTGGGTTTAGCTTCTTGTAGTCTTTCTGGTTCAATTCCTTCCCAATTAGGAAAGTTAACCAGCCTTCAAAGCTTGGTTTTGCAAGATAATTACTTGGTTGGTCCTATTCCTGCTGAGATTGGAAACTGCACAGATCTTCTTGTTCTTGCTGTTGCAGGAAACATGTTGAATGACACTATCCCACAACATATGTTTCATCTTCGAAAACTCGAGACGCTTAATCTTGCTAATAACAGCTTGTCTGGGGAGATTTCTGATCAAATTGGTGAAATGGGTAGTCTTGAGTACCTTAATTTGATGGGTAATCAGCTTGTGGGTCCCATACCAAAGTCATTAGCAAATTTGGGTAAGCTTTACAATCTTGATGTGTCAATGAATAGGTTAACTGGTGGAATTCCTGAAGAGTTAGGGCAAATGAGCAAGTTAGAAAACCTGATTTTGTCAGGCAATAGTCTTTCTGGTACTATACCATCTGGTATTTGTGCCAATACAACTAGCCTTCAGGGGCTATCTTTGTCAAGTGCTCAACTATCTGGCGAAATTCCACCAGAAATTGGACAATGTCAGTCATTACAAACGCTTGATTTGTCCAACAATACGCTCAACGGATCGATTCCGGTTGAGCTGTATGGACTTGCAGGGCTGACTGACTTGTACCTATATAACAACAGTCTGAGTGGTTCAATATCTCTTGCTGTTGGAAATCTCAGCAGTTTGCAGACTTTGGCACTGTATCAGAACAAGATTGGGGGAAATTTGCCTAAAGAGATTGGTATGTTGGGTAGTCTGCAGGAGTTTTTCATCTACAGCAATCAGTTTTCTGGAGAAATTCCTTCAGAAATAGGCAACTGCTCGAGTTTACAGATGATTGATTTCTATGGGAATCAGTTTACTGGGAGAATACCTGCAAGTATGGGGCTGCTAAAAGAGCTGAACTTTCTGCATCTTAGACAGAATGATTTGGTGGGTGAAATTCCTGCTACATTGGGGAACTGTCAGCAGCTGTTGATCCTCGACTTAGCTGATAACCGCCTTTCTGGTGGAATTCCGGCGAAATTGGGCAATCTGGAGTCTCTGCAGCAGTTTATGCTGTACAACAATAGCCTTGGAGGTAAAATCCCTGATGAATTGAAAAGCATGTCTAATCTGACAAGGGTGAATCTTTCAAATAACAAACTGAATGGTAGCATTGCTCCTTTGTGTAGTTCAACTTCATTTCTTTCTTTTGATGTGACTAACAATGAATTTGATCATGTCATTCCACCCCAACTGGGGAATTCGCCTTCGCTTGAAAGGCTAAGACTAGGAAGCAACCATTTTACCGGGGAAATTCCTCGGACATTCGGACTCATACACGAATTATCCTTGTTAGACCTTTCAGGAAATTCGCTTTCTGGTTTCGTACCTTTTGAGCTTTCTTTCTGCAAAAAACTCTCTCATATTGACCTAAATGGAAACCATCTTACTGGCAGAATCCCAACATGGTTTGGGAATTTGCCACAGCTTGGTGAAATTAAACTGTCCTCAAATTCATTCTTTGGTCCTTTACCACCTCAATTATTCAACTGTTCTAAACTCCTTGTCCTTTCTCTGGAGGACAATCAGCTGAATGGTACCCTACCATCAGAAATTGGCAATCTTGCTTCTCTCAATGTCCTTAGGGTCAGTAAAAACCAACTTTCTGGCTCGATCCCACCCTCGATAGGCCAACTTAGCAAGCTCTATGAGCTTCAACTATCAAATAACCATCTTAATGGTGAGATTCCTATTGAGATTTCTCAGCTCCAGAATCTGCAAGTCATGCTGGACCTTAGTTTCAACAATCTCACTGGACAAATTCCTCCACAAATCGGATCGCTTACTAAGCTTGAAGCTCTCAGCTTATCTCACAACCAGTTCACTGGTGCGGCCCCCCCTCAGATTGGTGGAATGAGCAGTTTGAGCATACTTAACCTCTCATACAACCACCTTGGAGGGAAACTTGATAAGCAGTTCTCGCATTGGCCAGCTGATGTTTTCGTGGGGAATAAGCTCCTCTGTGGGAAGCCTCTTCAACTCTGCAGTGTTGCCTATCAAGGCAGCCGTAAGCATGCAACCTTAGCATTGATACTCTCTTCATTTCTGACCGTTGTTGCTGCTATTGTCTTAATACTTGGAGTGGCCATCTGCATCAGACGGCGAAGATATATGATCAAGAGATCCAAAGAAACAGGCAGCAGTTCATACAGCAGTTCTTCTAATACAAATCGGCGCTTACTGAATTCAAAATCCCCCAGGAGGCATTCAGAGTACAGATGGGATGACATTATGGAAGCAACAAAGAATCTGAGTGATGCTTTTATAATTGGTTCGGGTGGTTCTGGTACAATCTACAAGGCCGACTTAGCATTTGGAGAGACAGTAGCTGTGAAGAAAATAGCCCGAAAAGATGATCTCATGTTGGACAAAAGCTTTGCCAGGGAAATCAAAACTCTTGGGAGAATAAGGCACAGGCATCTGGTGAAGCTGATTGGGTACTGCACCAACAAAGGAGCAGCCTCGAATCTGCTTATATACGATTACATGGAGAATGGAAGTGTCTGGGACTGGCTCCATGGACAAGAAAGTATCAACAAGAAGGCTGGAACGAAAGGACTCGATTGGGAGACGAGACTAAGAATAGCTGTGGGGTTAGCTCAAGGAGTGGAGTACTTACACCATGATTGTGTGCCGAAGATCATTCATAGAGACATTAAAACAAGTAATGTGCTGCTGGATTCTAACATGGAAGCTCATTTAGGAGATTTCGGACTAGCAAAGCAGATACATTGCAATTATGAATCTATCAATGAAACAGAATCTAGTATTTGGTTTGCTGGATCTTATGGATACATCGCCCCAGGTAAATTCAAAAACCAATTTCTCATTATTTAATCTGCTTCAGAGTTATATTGTTACACTTTATTATAATCTTTTTTTTGTTGTATCATTTTTATAAACCATAGTTGACTTTGTATTTTTTATGTGTCATCAAACATTATACAACGATATCTTAGATCAAATATCTAACACAAAATTTGGCTTTTTAATATGTTGTCATAATTTTGCCAGAATATGCATACTCATTGAAGGCAACAGAAAAGAGTGATGTGTACAGCATGGGAATTGTACTGATGGAGCTTGTAAGTGGAAAAATGCCAACAGATGGAAGTTTTGGTACAGATATAGACATGGTGAGATGGGTAGAGACACGTATCGAAATGGAAGGATTAGAACGAGAGAAGCTTATCGACCCCAATCTGATGCCTCTCCCTCCTAATGAAGAATGTGCAGCATTCCAGGTTCTTGAAATTGCACTCATGTGCACCAAGACTTACCCTGCTGAAAGACCAACTACGCGACAAGTCTGTGATCAACTCCTTCAAGTCTACCGAAACAGGACAGTTTGTTCGGCCAAGAGTGATCTGTGACCATTTCATACTGTGGATTAGTGTCCCTTAGTGCATTTCAAAAGATCACTTATTTTGGTTGAAAATTTGATTGTTTTTTCAGAATCTCATGCTAACAGACTGATTATTGAAAGTGTATGATCTAATTACATCAAGATGATGACTTCATATTATTATTGTATTAACCTAAATGCAGTTATAATGATGTAAATAAAATTTTCTATCAAATGATGTTGGCTTTGTTATAATCATTCCATATTTAAATTAAATTAATCAAATGATGACTTAATTTATTTCACAGATAAACTTACTTAACAACTCATCATGTGTGCTTGTTCACCTTTGCTTAACAACTTTGATAATATATTTAATCATCAACTTTAATAAATTCAAGAATAGATCTTACCATCATGGCATCATCAAATCACATATTCAATCATGTACTGACCATTTATCTTTTGAATATTCAAAATAAATTAAATATATATGGTTTGTTTATAATGGAGAATTGGAGATAACCATGGAAAATCTTCATAACACTAGCAATAGAATTGCATTTCAAATTAATTACAGTATAACATTTGATTTTTTCATCTGATTTCAATTGATTGCAAACATATACATATACATATACATATATATATATATATATATATATATATATATATATATATATATACATACATATATATATATATATATATATACATAGTTGAGTTTTTTTTTGTTTTTTTTTTTTGAGGAAATGTTAGCAATATTTATTACGGAGTATTTTGTAAGGATTTAAGTAGGTACAGAGTAATGCTTTAAGTAGCCCTTAGGCTAAGAATAAACATTTAATATTTTTCCTAATTTGGTTTTAATTTAGAAACATATGACAAAGTCACTCGCAAATTTTTTTTGTTTTCTTCTTGAATAGCAAAAATATTTCATAAATTACGACCCTACAATAGAGATTTGACGTTAACAAATACATAAGATATTGAATCAAATAAAATTTTCCTTCATAAAAACTACGATCATGAAGTAGATCTAGCTTGCATTGTGGAACATTGATCTCCCGCTTATATCGCTGGAAAATACAGTTTTGTTAGAGAGACAATCTAACGATCCTTTGTAGTCATGAGGATGCTTTTCTTCTAATTTATCCGTATGTGTTCGAAAACTTGATAACTTTTTTTACCAACAAAATAATTTCACGACAATCCATTAGATCTAATTTCAGGGATTCAAAACTAAGAAATTTCTCCCCCGAAAAGAGAAGATCGATCTGATAAACCTTGTTTTTTAAAGAAGGTCGAAAAACCCTTGTCTTTTGAAGGAGATCGGAAACCCTTTCTTTCAAGGAGAAAAGATCAAAGCAATATTATAAACCTAAATTAAATTTAAAGATTTAAGAATTGTGGCTTTCCGGGCTTTCCATGGGTTAAAACCGATGGAAGCCCCTTCAAAATTCAACAATAGAGGTTACGGTTTTGGAGAGAGAAAGGAGGAGAGAAAATATGTTGTATGGTATATATATAAAGACAATTGCAAATTAGTGTAATTAATGTTATATTTTTACTTGTGTTTTTCATTTTTAGCTTTATATGTAGCCATAAAGGATGCCCCTCCGTGTTTTAATAAGTGTTACAGTTTGAGCAAATACGCATGGCGAGACACGAATTTGACCCTTAATTTATCTAATTATATGTTAGTAAAATCATATGAAATTTAATAATATGAAAGTATACATTATAACGTTTTCAACAATGCATTATACAATTTAATTTGTTTTTTATATGTTAGTAAAGTAATCAAGTCAAACTCATTTTGTGATTAGTGAAAAAAGTCAAACTACAACAGTTTTTAAAACACGGAAGGAGTATGTATATCATTTTTGATTTTTAATTCCTCTCTTCAACCCCATTTTTTTTTTTTACAATGTCATTTATATTATAAGATCCTGTCTTTGGTCCCCACCTATAAAGACTACAATTTCCCATGTACGATTGCGATCAATCTATTAACTTTTTTTTTTAAGGCAATCAATCTAACTACTTAGTATTAACTTATACTAAAAGCGATTCATCAATAAGGACAAAAACACTTGTCATTAACATATGAAAAAAAAAAATTAACTTTATATTTTTTATTTGTAAAATCTTTAAGTAAACTTTTTATATCTTATATGATATTTTCTTTCCAATTTGACAATCATATTTCATACATACCCAAATAAAATATTTCTACATATCTTTTGTATACTTTATATATTTTATAATATTACTGACAAAAATATTTAACAATCGTACATTGCACGAGATTTTAACCTACTTCAAAACTAAGACAATATATGCTTATATAATTTCATATTTTGCTCTTACTTTATAATCCAATACTCCATACCTCACAAGCGAGTGCATATATTATCCAACGAACCCAAGAAAGATCACATACACATGTTCTAATTAAAAGGAACACAAATTATAAAAAAAAAAAAAAAAAAAAAAAAAAAAATGAAGTATACGTCCATTGCATCACTTCCTATTCTATGTTCATTTGTTGAATATGCTTCACCCAATCTTCGTCTTCTGCGGGAACTTCCCGTTTTTCCTTAAACCAGGTCTTGATCAATTCCGGATCTCTTGCTTCAGCAAAGAAAATCTCCAACCCAGGTCTTCGAACCTTGGTCCGTGGGTCACACCATGGTTCCGGGAACTTGTAGTAAAGTTCCTCATCTCCTTGCAACACAAACTGACCGTTGAGTGTTAAAGGAAACTTCTTCAGGGGTAAATGATCCTTATTGACTCCATATTCCTTTGTCAGTCAATTTATCCATACACTTCATATACTATATGCTTTTCATGTAAATAAACAACTTAACAGGTGCAACTAGTTCCACTCCTTAAAGTGGTGAACAAAACTTGCTAATGCCAGTAATTGATTAACACAATGCATTGGTGCAACTACTCCTCTTTTAATATTTAATCATTGGGGGATTAGATTTCCCGTGACTATTAGATAATACTCCGTAATATTTTCATAACCCTATATTAAATTTTCTTTTTAAAAATAATCATTCAATTTATTTTAATTAAGAAAATATTTCCAAAACGCCAAATGAGAGAAAGAGATCAAAGCAAACAATTGGTGACCAACTCACATGCAATAACTTAATTGCTAAATAAATAATCACATGGATATGGTTTTATCTCTTAATTTTATTATGATGCTTGCAATGCAACAAAGTCAAGAATCAATAGTTTATTTATTTAATTACTTTTCAAACATGTTGTCGATGTCGACTAAACCAAATGAGAAAGTATTGTATTTCCATTTCGTAGTAGCTTGTTATATTAATTATTGCTTTCTCTGAGTTGGGCGGTAAGACACTAATAAATGACAATAATGATAGTTTATCATGAGTAATTTTGACACTAATAAATGACATGAGTAATGTCCCTGGTCATGTATTTGGGTTGGGTTCAATTCAGGACATGTTTGGTCTCGGATTAAGTCATATATATCTTAGCCATCATGTCAAACTTGGAAAATGTACATATCTAGTGAGCCACTCATGAATCTTGAATTGACAGGTACATATGAACCATTAAAGAATTATTATATAAAATTATAAATAACGAACTTTTAAAGGCAACCACAAATAAATGACTCATTTCATTAAGGTTCACCCCTTTTATGATACATAAAATCATTAACAATACGAAGTATAAGTAATTAAACCATCTAAATTTTAGGGATGAATGTATGAAACAGGACTATGAGATCGGTTTTCACCCATATTAGGCGCTCTTCGGTTTCTTAATCACATGATTCTTTGCAATAAAGGACACACATACTATAATTCCATAAGGTCAAAATTAGTTATTAATTACCAATAAGTCGGTTTTATTAATACACTACAAGAAAACAGCGTAATTGCGACGGAAAAAGTTCGTCGGAAAATATAAAAAATCCGTCGGAAATGAAGCTTGCGACGGAATTCCGTTGGAAACGTCCATCGAAAAACCTTTTGTAGGAAATTGGCCATATTCCGACGGAATTTCCGTCGTAAACTTCATTTCCGACGGAAATTATTGTGTCGGAATTTAATTTGACTTTAAGTGAAGATCCGTCGCAATACTAAAATTCCGACAGAATTTTCCGTCCCAAAAAACAATTTCCGACGGAATATTCCGTCGGAAATTACACATTGCAACGGAAAATTCCGTCGAAAATTTATTTTTGCGACGAAAAATTACGTCGGAAATTTAGTTTTGCGATGAAACATTCCGTCGGTAACTTTCGACGGATTTTTCCGTCGTTAATCAATTCTTTTTGTGACTGATATAATCCGTCGAAAAGACCTTCAAACCCGACTGTAATATTTTAAAAAAATGCATTTCCAAACCTGAAGTTGCTATTTAAAAAAAATTAATTACCAACCTACGAAATTATATATAATAATAATAATAATAATAATAATAATAATAATAATAATAATAATAATAATAATAATAATAATAATAATAATAATAATAATAGAAGGTTGCTATTGCGTTGCTGAAGCGGGTTCAGGCGTTCGCTAAGACTCAGGATATTGGTGCTCGTGCAGCTGCTCACATCTTCAGCAGGATCGGGTTCGCTATAGCTAGAGGGGTGGGGGCCCAGATTGTATCTCGGCTCCCTACCAATTTCTTGTAAATTGATTGACTCTGTACGTTTTGTTTTTTATAATAATAATAATAATAATAATAATAATAATAATAATAATAATAATAATAATAATAATAATGTCCTATTACAAAAGATAGTCCGAACTAAGTATCCATACCAAACAAAAGCTATGCTAGAGTGAATCTATGCTAGACTAAAGCTAAGCTACGCAATCACCTGGGTACCCTGGCCTGCTCCACCACTACCTGGGTCGTCCCTAGGGTCTCGATGCTGAGGATGAATGGTGGAACATGCGTTGTTGTTGGTGAAACGACTCATCATCTCATCCATACTCTCCTTGTATCTCCTCTCTATTTCAGCTTTGCATCTCGACTTCCATTTGAGTTTGGAGAGCATGCACCCTATGTTCCATCTGATCTTGCATCTGAGAAATGATAGACGTCGTGTATTGCTGTGAAGAACGAGAAACTCGACCCATCCGGTTGCCATAGTAGAGCTCTGCACTTTGGCCAAGTCCCTTCACACGACCTTTCTTATTGCGCCCACCCACCGTCTC